GGGGGGGGGGGGGGGTAGGAGTGATGCTTGCTTCTACAAGCACATATACTAAAATTAGAATTATAGAGAAGTTTAAAGTGGTCCCTGATAAGGATGATATCCAACTTTTTGATGCATTTCACATTGTGTGTGTGTGTGTGTGTGTGTGTGTGTGTGTGTGTGTGTGTGTAGGACATGAAAATAGAAAGGGAACTACAGAGGAAGTAGAGGTAAGAGGTGTAAAGGGAGCAGAGAGGAGAGAATATTGGAGTACATGTGACATAAAAACAGAAGAGGGGGCCTGGAGAGATTGTGCATCTAGGTTTGAGTCCCAACACCCATGTGGTAGCTCACAACTGTCTGTAGTTCCAATTCCAGGGGATCTGATAGCCTCTTCTGGCCTCCACAGGCATGTACATGGTACACAGACATACATGCATGGGAAACACCCATACACATAACAAAAACTTTTTTTTTTTTGAGATAGGGTTTCCCTGTGGCTTTGGAGGCTGTCCTGGAACTAGCTCTTGCAGACCAGGCTGGTCTCAACCTCACAGAGATCCCCCTGCCTCTGCCTCCCGAGTGCTGGGATTATAGGCGTGCGCCACCACCGAAATTAAATGAACAAAGAATTATGAAATACATTCATATAATGAAAACATCACAGTAAAACCCATTCCTTTGTACACTAACAAAGAAAATAAGAAACATGGTGCCAACAAGATGGCTCAGTAGGTAAAAACGCTTGCTGGGGGAGAGGGGTGATGATCACGAGAGATCTCCAGGAGAGCCTATGCTAGAAGCAAAGAACCAACTTTTGCAAGTTATCCTCTGACTTTGGCAGGCACATTTGTACTCACACAACTCACACATTCAATGATAAAAACAGCAAAACTAAGACTTTAGAAAACAAGAAACATGGACAAGCTTTCAAAGTCTTCTGGGCTAAGACCTTTCCTACTTGAGAGAAATCTCAAACTTATTTTTAGGGCCTAGATTTCGGGAGAATTGGTCATTCTTCACCTTTGCTAGAGCACTTGGTTTCCAGTTCTCTTTCCATCACTTGACAATGAGCTACAGCCATTTGGTTGACATTCTTGTTGCGACCACCCACAGATGCACTCACTTGGGGGACCTGCTGCAGAAAGCACTGGTAACCAGGTGTGCACTTGCCATAAACTAGCTACTTCTACCTCTGCTGCAGGACCACTTCATCTGTCTCGACTTCCCACCTGCAGAGAAGTAGACGGTGCCTCAAAAAGTATGACTATAGCCATCAAAGCAGAAATAAACACATCTCATACTCCCTTAAATCCCAGCCTTATTTTCCAACTTACCTGGCATGACAAGGCTCTGTGATGACTCCCACACTTACCATCTCTGTCCTAGAGGACAAAGACTTTTTACACACCCCCTTTCTGGGGGAGCAGTTTCTGCAGATAAAAGGATATTAATATAGAAACAGGATGAATATCCTGCATCTTTCAGCCACTGTCACCACCAAGACCCTCATGGCAGATAAAGGTTTGGGTTGGTTTGTTTTGAGACAGGGTATTTCCCATTTCCCATAGCCCTGATTGGTGGTTTGAAATTAACTAGCATCCACATTGTAATGATTTTCCTACCTTGACCTCCAAAGCTCTGAGATTGCAGGAGTGAGCCAAGTGCAGCTTTTTTTGGGGGGGGGAGGGGAGTATGAGATGAGGTTTCTCTGTGTAAAAGCACTACCTGTCTTGGAACTTCCTCTTCCTTCTGCATGCTGGGATTAAAGGTATACACCACCACCATCACTGTTTTTTTTCCTTTTCATATGTGTGTGGGGTGTGTATGAGTATGTCTGTTCACATGTGTGGATACATATGTGTGCTTGTGCATTAGATCAGAGACTGAAGGCAGGTGTCTTCACCTTGTTTTTGTTTTTGCTTTTTTTTTTTTTTTTTTTTTTCCGAGACAGGGTTTCTCTGTGGCTTTGGAGGCTGTCCTGGAACTAGCTCTTGTAGACCAGGTTGGTATCGAACTCACAGAGATCTGCCTGCCTCTACCTCCCGAGTGCTGGGATTAAAGGCGTGTGCCATCACCGCCTGGTTGGTGTCTTCACCTTGGTTGGTGTATATTAAAGTAGGGTCTCTCACTTGAACCCAGAGCTCACAGATTTGGCTAGTCTAACTAACCAGTTTGCTCCAGGTGCCTTTGCCTCCTGAAGGCTAAGATAACAGGCAGGTCATCATACTACCTAGCATTTACGTGGGTTCTAGGAATCTAAATCTGGTCCTTATGCTTGCTCTGCAAATGCTTTATTGACTGAGCCATTTCTCTGGTCCTCAAATCCAGCTTTAAAGGTTATTTTTCTGACTTTTCTTAAAAAGTGGTCTGCAAACCAGTAGCACCTGGCAGCCTTGATCATTCCTGGGCCATAATCTATATATCTATTGGTCTGTACTTAAAATAGTTCCTAAGGTTTTATGTTAAAGCATTTCGTGCCAGGCAGTGGTGGTGCACGCCTTTAATTCCAGCACTCTAGAGGTAGAGGCAGGCGGATCTTTGAGTTCAGGGCCAGCCTTGTATACAGAGCAAGTTCCAGGACAGCCTCCAAAGCTACACCAAGAAGCTGTCTCAAGCCTCCTCCCCTAGCCTCTCAAGGGCTTAGACTGCAAGCTCTCACCCCCAAGTTCCCCACATTTTCTTTGATAATGGGTCTCATTATGTAGTGAAGACTGGTAATTCTCCTTCCTCAGCCTCTGCCGAGCTGGGATTACAAGTGGGCATTGCCATACCCAGCTTAATAAATTTTAATTATGAAAAATTTCAAGATAGGTGTGGTGACACATGCCTGTAATCTCAGAATTTAGGTGATTTGGGCAGGGGAATCATGAGTTTGAGGCCAACCAGAGCTATATGCCAAGATCGTGCTTCAACTAGCCATTAAAGGGGAAAAGGAAAAGGGGCTGGAGAGATGGATCAACAGAAGAGCATTGGCTTCTCTTCCAGAGGACCTAGGTTCAATTCCCAGTGCCTACAGGGCAGGGATCTGATACCTTCACACAGACTTACATGCAGGCAAACATGAATATACATGAAATTTAAAAAAAGCTATAGAAAAGAAAAAAAGTAAAATCTATTCTGAAGCAGAGTGCAGGAAACTGGATGACTACACATGCCTGTAATCCCAGAATTCAAGTGGTTGAGGTGGAGGGATTTCAAGCTGAAGACAAGTTTAAGATAAATGACACACAAAAAGTACAGCCTAATGCTTTGCTTCTCAAGAGTATGGCCCTGGGGTCTCATACCCAGACCTACTGAATCAGAATCCACTTTCTCAGGATCTCCAGGTGATTAGTATGTACATTAAATTTCCCACCCAGACGTCACTCCTAGTCATGCCAATTATCTTATCTATACTCACGCCCACTCGCAAAAGATATGAAAGAAGAAAAACAACCTAAGAATTTCTCGGGCTCAGGGCCTGGAGAGAGTTGTGGTTAAGAGCATGTATGGCTCTTGCAGAGTTTGGTTTTTTTAGCTCCCATGTTGGGCAGCTCACACTGCCAGTAACTCCAGTACTGAGGGATTGCCTCTGACCTTCCAACTTGCACACATACAATTAAAAAATAAGTCTAAAACTAATTTCTTGAGCCAGGTAGTGGTGGCTCACGCCTTTAGTCCCAGCACTCGGGAGGCAGAGGCAGAGGCAGGTGGATCTCTCTGAGTTCAAGGCCAGAGCGAGTGCTAGGATAGGCTCCAAAGCAATACAGAGAAACCCTGTCTCGGAAAAAAAGAAAAAAAAAATCTTGGACTGGGTAGTATCAGCTAAATGACAGTAGTTGTCCAGCGTTCCCAAGGCTTGGATTCCATTCCTATTACCACCCCCACTACCACTACCATAATAACTCTCCTCCTGCCCCCCTCCTCCTCTTCCTAGCAGTGTCTCCCTCTAGCCCCGGGTTATCTGGAGCTCACTCTGTCCTCCTATTCGCACTCTCTCAAGTGCTGGGATTGCAAGCATGAAACCACACCTCTCCCCACATATAAATACAATTTTGTTAATGTTCAAAGCCGCACAAATAGCCAAAGTTTAAGATCCTTTAGAATGTCGTGAGGATTACGTCAAAACGTTCAATTCTCCTACTCTCCCTGAAAAGGAATTTCTACCCAGAAAACCTCTTGGAATGGGTCAGGGGCGGCTCAGCATCAATACACACCTGCCACGCCCCAACAACTGCCACACTGGCGGCAAATGCTCCATTTCCAGCCGAAAGCTAACAAAACTCAAGAGAAACGACGCGAGAAAGAAGCAAGGAGAAGAAAACACTTCACGCAAGAATAGTTCCTCCAGACCGTCATCGTTAGCGGGGCTCGATTCAAATCTCCCGGGGTTGCTGGGGCTGGGGGAATTGAGTACTTGAAGGGTGTGACGATTGGCCAGAGGGAGAGCCAATGAGCATCAGACTCTCTGTGTGGCGGAGATGCCTAGTCGACCAGGTACGACCCTAGCGATTGGTAAGGGGGCAGGGTCCTAGTCTCGCACGCTGATTGGCTGACGCTACTGGCATAAGGACAGTGATAGGCTGTTGAGAGAGCGGAAGGTTTGAATGGTCAGGCCTATGGCTGTTGGTCTTGCCCTTCTGCCAATTCCGGAGAGAAGCAGCAAATCTGGACCTCGAGCTAACTAGATACCATTTTAACTCGAAGACCCTCTTCTCTTCCTCAGATTCCTTCTCATTCGCTGGAGTCTTCGCTTCCGTCCAGTTCTGCAGGAGTTTCTTTCTCCAAATTCAAATCTGCCTCTAAACTGAAGGTAAGCCGAGAGCTGTGTCCGTTCGGGAATCTCGGACACCCGATTGTCCCTGCAGGGTTCTTGCGGGGACCGGAGGTCCGAATAGCCTTATCGCGTTAGGTAGATCCAATTCTTCTGGCCAAGAGTGTGAAGCTGAACGATCCGGATCAAGCCAGTCTTCTCTCCGTTCCTCCTTTGAAGGCCTGAGCTTGCCAGGTCTCTGTAAATTTTTGCCCTGAGCAGTGTGACATTCCAGCGTGTTATACTTGATCCTTTGGGGATCCTTTTGGGGGGTGCTCCTCCACCCGGGCCTAGGCAGGCACTGGAAAGGGCGGAGAGGTTGGGAAAGCTGAGTATCTGTAGTGTTTTTCTCCTAGATAGCCACCCCTCTTCTTCCGTGAAGACTCCGAAGTCATGTCTACAGGACCCTTTCCATCTGCAAGAAAAGAGGGAAGTTTTGTTTCAGCACCCAGTTTTAGGTCCAATCAAAGGAAGATGTTAAACCTACTTTTGGAAAGAAACACTTCTTTCCCAGATTTCCCCAAATCTCCAGGAGACAAACTTCTCGACTCGACAAACCTAAGCATTTTGTCTGGGTAAATTTATTTTTTTAAAGATTTATTTTTTAATGATGTGTAGACGTGTGTGTGTGTGTTCCAAACGTGGGTATGTGTTTGTGATTATAGGTGGTCTCAGAGGGTCAGAGTTTTGTACCTGCCTGAAGTTATAGGTGGTTACTCTGCCTTAAGTGGGTGCTGGGG